AGTCAGAAGCAGCTGAAGACCTCCAGAGGGTGCTTTTGGTGACACAGATGCAGTCCACCAAAGAGATCACAGCTGTGGGCTGAGGTCAGGATGGGGCAGGCCCCGGGGCCATCAGAGCAAGAAGGCCATCCTAGCTACTCCGCCACCCCTCCTATCTCCACGGCAGCCCTAAGCCCTCCCAAGCTTTGGGCTCCAGGAGACGCAGCTCAAAGCCAGTTCTCCTGGGAGGGCTTCCTAGAGGAGGAGCAGGTGGGGCCGGGGCAGGCCGGGGAGAGAAGGCTCACATCTGGAGAACAGATGCTAAGGCCTCTGGCTCCTGGAAGTTGGTTAGGTAATTAGGTAGACTGCTAATTAAGGAGGTCCAGGTGTTCATTAAGATGTCGCTAATTGGTTAGGAGGGAAGCTTGGACAGGATAGGGCTCTATACCTTCGATAGGGTCAGTTTAGGGTCCTCTGTGCCCATTCCGGCCCCAGCCACCCCTCTTCCAAAGTCAGGGCTGAGTTCATGATCTTGTCCCAGAGCTTTCTACGACTCTGCAACACTGTAGCATGGAGAGCAGAGAGGAAAGGTTGGTAGGACTGAGCCTGCTTTGTAGGAGGGCTCCTGGTTAGATAGGAGGAAGGACTGCCAAGGGAGGCGCATCACTCCCGCTGGCAGCGGAGGGGCAATGGGGAAGGGGCCTTGACAACGTGGAATTCTAAGCAGTGCTTTGGGGGACGGTGGGGATAGGTGTTGCCCTCCTGCTTTCCCTGTCAGAGGGTGTTGGACGGGTCTCTGTGGCTTCCCTGCCTTCTCAGCCCTGATCCCTCTCACATCCTAGCTCCCCCAGCATGAGGCGGGGGTGGGGGGGGCGGTATAGGAGATCAGCCAGGGAGCTGGTTGCCAGGCGACAGTTGCCTAAGCAACCCCATCCTCTATCTCCATGTGCTCAGGGCTGCTCCTTAGAAGACTTTAGAGTCTCACCCTCTATACCAGCCAACTCAAGGGTGGAGAGGGTTGAGGACTCTAATGACAGAGGTGGTCGGAAGGTAGGTGATTTCCAGACGGACAAGCTTCAGGTGCAGCTGGGAGAGGAAGGGTAGCTGGTCCTGCTGCACAACTGATGGAAAGACCACAGAGGACTTCTTACAGGGTCACAAAGATGAAACAATCCTCTCTTCTTTTTCAACAAATATTTCCTGAGCTTCTCCTTTCGGGGGCTAGAGTGGTGAAAAAGACAAATGTGGTTCCTGCCCTTGGGAAGCTTGAGTCTCACAAATGAGGCAGACATTAAATAGAAGCACAGAATTATAATAATTTAGAGCAGTGGTCGCCAATCGGTAGTCTGCGGACCACTGGTGGTCCGTGAGGTCTGAAAGGTTGGTGACCACTGATTCAGAGTCCTAAGTGCTAGAAAGAAGAGAACAAGATGCGCTGAGAGTAAACAATTGGGGAACCTAAGGAGTGAGACTGGCTTGCAGAAATGGCCGTTCTGAGTGTCAGGAAAGCTAAGAATGTTCTCTCCCAACCCGGAGGAAGACATAGTATTGGCCACACATTGGCAGAGGTTACATCTCAATAAGAATTTGCTTGTGAACAAAGGGTGGTGAGAAGGAGACATAGTAGAACGGGAGGGGAAGGGCAGTGAGAAGCCAGAGGAATGCTGGAGTGACTGCATTTACCAATCTGGATTGGGGTCTCCAAAGCAGGCCAGAGAGTCCTTTTTATTTTATTTTTTATTTATTTATTTTTTAAAATATATTTTATTGATTTTTTACAGAGAGGAAGGGAGAGAGATAGAGAGCTAGAAACGTCGATGAGAGAGAAACATTGACTAGCTGCCTCCTGCACAGCCCCCACCGGGGATGTGCCCGCAACCAAGGTACATGCCCTTGACCGGAATCGAACCTGGGACCTTTCAGTCCGCAGACCGACGCTCTACCACTGAGCCAAACGGGTTTCGGTGAGAGTTCTTTTTAAAAAGCTCTTTTCTTGCCCTGACCAGTTTGGCTCGTAGATAGAGCATTGGCCTGCGGACTCAAGGGTCCCAGTTTCTATTCTGGTCAAGGGCATCTACCTTGGTTTTGGGCACATCCCTAGTAAGGGGTGTGCAGGAGGCAGCTGATTGATGTTTCTCTCTCATTGATGTTTCTAGCTCTCTATCCCTTTCCCTTCCTCTCTGTAAAAAGTCAATTTAAAAAAATATATATATATATATTTTTTAAAGCCTCTTCTTTGCCCCACTCCCCTACCTTCAGTGTGCTCTCCTCACCTCCCCTGCCAGGCTCTAGGAAATGTAGCCTGTGGATTGCATTGGGAGGCAGGGGGGCTGAAATCCTTGGGTTGGAGACTTTGTAGCAGGGGTTTGGCTGAGATTGGGGTTACAAGCAAGGAATGGTGAGGGGACAGAGCAGTTCTGGGCCCAGGTATCTTGGGGCCACTCAGGGTTGACTGGGCTTGTGAGGGCTACAATGGGAGGCCCAGGTCCCATGGAGCAGGTTGAGAACAAGGAAGAGGGGACGAGAGAGGGGTAGAGGGCCCTTCCAGGAGAGGGAAGGGAATTTCACTGCTTTCTCAAGATATAGACAGAACAGAAGCTCTCTTTCCAGCTGGGCTAGGGAAGGCCTGAGGGACAGGCCTGGGAATGGGAAAGAGTGGAGATGAGTATTCCTGGCTCCTCCCAAGTGCACAGATTCCCTGCCTTCCCTTCCCCACGCCAAGATGCTGAGGCTGACCCTACTATGGAGCACTGGGGACCATGGCTGAGTGGAGCTAAAGGCTCAGCCATTAGAAACGAGAGCCGGGGCAGGTTCTTAATTATTGGTGTCTATTATCAAACACCTCTCCCCACCTCTCTGTAAAAATCCTCCCTTGACTGCAGTGGGGTCTCTGACAGGGGGGCTGTGGAAGGGGAACTCTGGAGGGAAGTGCTGGGTTTCTGTGGTCCGGGCTCCTCTCAGGACCCAGTCGGAGAGGCTTTAGAAAGCATGACTCCCATCCTAGCTGGTTTGGTTCAGTGGATAGAGCGGTGGCCTGTGGACTGAAGGGCCCCAAGTTCGATTTCAGTGAAGGGCACATGCCGCGGTTACAGGCTCAGTCCCCAGTAGGGGTGTGTGCAGGAGGCAGCCAGTCAATGATTCTCTCTCATCACTGATGTTTCTATCTCTCTCCCTCTCCCTTCCTCTCTGAAGCCAATAAAAAAACATATTTTTTTAAAAAGGGAAAGAAAACATGAGTCCTATGCTCATTGCCCCCTCCACCGTCTCTCAGAAGGCTCCATCTCTGATGAAAAGACGCCTGAAATCAGAGAGTTGGAGGGACCCTGGGGTTAATTCATGCCTCCAGCTCCCAAGGGCTCCCCCAGCCTGTTGGGGCGCTGCCCACACCAGAAAGCACGCACCTTTTCAGGCTCAGGCTGAGCTCTCATTCCTGTGTCCCCTCCCATCCCAGAGTGTCTCCAGGATTGTATAGTTCAGGGGCTCCGTTTCCCATTCTGGCTCTGGAATTGGAGCTGTTCAACCGATGGGCCATGACGGTTTACCCAATAGACGTGCTGAGACAGAGAATCCCGCCGGGTGCCTGCGTCCCCCTGGCTTCCGGCCGTCTCCTGCGGATACGTCCGCAGGCTCTGTGTTTTCTCTTTGTGCTTCCAGGTGAACAAGGTTGGGAAGCACTGTTCAGACTGAGCTTGGGTTCTAGACTTGGCCCATTCCTTTAGAGTAGGAATCAGCAAACTGTGGCCCATGCTTATTCGTATAAATCTAGTTTCATTAGAACACAGCCACACTCATTCATCTGTGTGTTGTCTACAGCTGCTTTCATGCTACCATGGCAGTGTAGGCCTGCAAAGCCTGAAATATTTAATATCTGGCCCTTCACAGAAAAAATTACCAACCCCTGGTCTAGAGGGGTGGTTTGTTTGTCTGTTTGTTTGTTTATAGCAACAGAACCCTTCAAAAAAAAGTTATAGGTTTAGGCCCACTGAGTAAAATGGACTGGTGTGGAAGTGGTAGAAGAGATAGGGGGTCTACAGCCCCAGCCCCACTCTGGAATACCAGGCCCCAGGGCTTCGTGAGCTGGGTTTGAGGATCTCTGGTATGGTCTTTGTGGTTTTTTTAAGATTTTAAAATTATTAAAATTTTAAAAAATATTAGTTTTTATTGATTTCAGAGAGAGGAAAGGAGAGGGAGAAACATTAATGATGAGAGAAAATCATTGATCGGCTGCCTCCTGCACGGCCCCTGCCCCTCTCCCTCCCCCAGGATCGAGCCTGCAACCCAGGCATGTACCTTGACTGGGAATGGAGCTGTGACCTCCTGGTTCATGGGTCAACACTCAGCCACATCAGCTGGGCTAAATTAATTTTTAGAGAGGAAGGAAGGGAGAAGGAGAGAGAGAGAAACATAAATGTGAGTGAGAGTAAAACATCAATTGGCTGCCTCCTATATGCCCCCTACTGGGGATTGAGCCTGCAACCCATTCATGTGTCTTGACTGGGAATCGAACCAGCAAGCTTCAGGTGCACAGAATGATGCCCAACCAAGTGAGCCACACTGGCCAGGGCTCTGGTATGTTCTTGATACAGAGATGCAGAATCACTCCCATTGTGGCTCCAGGTAAACTGCCAGCTGCATGGACTTGGCAGGTGTGTTCACGCAACACGTTCTCTGCACTAAGCTCCAGCACAAGAGCCGCTGTTCTGAGTACGAGGTCCAGCTTGTGCCTGGCTGTGGCATGCCGTCCCCTCAGGTTGCCACCCTGTCCTCATTTTGAGGACACTGACAGCCTCTCCCAGAGGTGCTGTGGACCTGGCCAGTGTGCCCAAGGAGCAGGGCTGAGGATTGCTAGGGCTGACTGTCTTGCCATGACCTTCCCCTCCCAGGAGGCTGTGCAGAAGTTGTCCTGCAGACCATGAACTGAGCACTGGTCCCAGACCGTTCATGAGCACAGTGTGAGGTGTGCCGAGACCTGCCACCCAGCGATCCCCTCCCCTCCCTGGCACTGAGGATCCCCGGAGAAGATGGGGAGGAAAAAGATTCAGATCCAGCGAATCACCGATGAGCGGAACCGACAGGTGAGGAGGTTCGAGGGCCACACAGTGTGGATGAGGGCAGGGAGCTGGCCTCTGCCTCTGTTCCTTGCAGCCACACCATGAGGGCTTCCTGCAGGAAGGGTCTCTGAAGGCTATTATGGAAGGGGAAGGACTGAGGGGGGACAAAGGAGCCCCCACCTCCTTGCAGCTGTTAGAATCCTGTGTCCCGGAGCACCTGCTCCTGATGCAACCACACAAACTTATGCCCATGAGCCCTGCCCAGAAAGAAGGCGAATGCCCTGGGCATGCCCCCTTTCCCAAGATGAATCCTTCCCTCTTTTTCCTTCCCTGACCTCGTTATAGTCCCCAGAACAGAGATGTGGAGGTTGGTGCATCCGGGTCCTCTGCCTTCAGTGAGTTAGCTGTGGGCTGTGCCGTGGCCATGTGTTGGCAGAAGGATGCTGGCCTGTCTCTTCCTCAGGCCAGGGGCTCCTGAAAAGAGAGCTGTGTCACTGAGATGGGGGCTCCCAAGAAGGGGCTGTGTCCAGCTGCCTGTAGTGGGGACTCCTGGGCAGGCCTTGACTGAGCCCGACCCGGCTGCCCACCCACCCCCTGCAGGTGACATTCACCAAGCGGAAGTTCGGGCTCATGAAGAAGGCGTACGAGCTAAGTGTGTTATGCGACTGCGAGATCGCGCTCATCATCTTCAACCACTCCAACAAGCTGTTCCAGTACGCCAGCACGGACATGGACAAGGTGCTGCTCAAGTACACAGAGTACAACGAGCCGCACGAGAGCCGCACCAATGCTGACATCATCGAGGTGGGCCCACGCACCGGACCCCGCCCACCCCTGCCTGCCACCCAGCGTCACGTGCCCATGCAGCACGCACCCACGGGCCTGGCCTGCCTGTGCATGCGCAGGTGTACACCTGCCCTCGTAGCTCCAGACCTGTGTGCACCAACGTATAAGCCCACGTCCCCTCACACACACCTTAGCTGAGGAGGAAGGAGGGGCAGTGAGTACATATCAGGTGTGGCTGCCAGCCCAGCCCACTCCCACTGCGGCCCTCAGAGTCATTCTTGTCTGTCAGGCATGACGTGATCTCTCCTCCATCTTTTCTCAAATTCTCTCTCTCGGTGTCTGTCTCTCTCCCTTCTCTAGCTTTTGGTCTGCTACTGCATCCCACTCTTTCTTTCTTTGTCTCCCTCTTTGTTTTCATCTCTCCTGCTGTCTCTGTCCCTTTTTGGGTCCCAGAGCCCTATGTTCTGTTTCAAAGAGGGCTGCCGTTGTGAACTGTTGAGAGACACGGCTTTGGGGTCCAGTTCTGGCCTTTACTGGCCACATGACCTTGGCAGATGGGTTGGCCTCCCAGAGCTTTGATGCTCATCCACCGCCACGAAATGGGGCCAGAGCCTGCTTTGAAGGGTGTTGTGGGAATTGGATGAGACGGCCCAGTTCTTGCTCCTCACACAAGGTATTCGTGCCTTGGGCATAGGAACTTGTGCGGATGGAGAAGGATGCCTGGGAAGGCACAGACTTTAACTCAGAGATTTGGAGGAAATGCCCTTATTTTTATATTAGAGAATACAGCTTTCCTCGGGACTAGAATGTGAAATTTGCATTCATTTTAAAGACAAAAGTATCTGTGAAGACGTTTTGATCCTTGAGAGGGCAGCTTTGAGGTCTACTCCAGACCCACCAGGTATGTCCTTGCTTTATGGCCACATGTGAGAGGCTCTGACCTTGGGCAAGGACAGCACACGGGGTGGCACATGGTAGGAGCTCAGTCAATGCTAGTTCCTTTGCCGTTCGCTCTCTTGTCTCTCTACCTCTCTGTCTCATTGCTTTTCTCTCTCCTCCATCTTCTAAGCAGAGCCCAGGGATTGAGCTAGGCAAAGCCAGCCCCATTACCTTCCCCTGGGGAACGCTCCGTGCCTTTGTGCAGAGCTGGTCAGGGGTGGTAAGGCAGGGGTGGCCAGGGCACCTCCTCCCAACCCCCAGAGCCCTCCCCACCTATCACCTTAGAGGCACATGTCTCTGCACCACGTGCATTCTCTGGGCTGTGCCCTCCTTCCATGTGACCCCTGCATGTTGATGCCTCCCCACCAGCCGCATCTTCACACAGGGCCCCAGAGGGGAGGTGGCACTGAGGCACTGGGCTGGGGAGATGCTGGGACCCCTGAGGAAGGAGGTTGGGGAACAGTTAAGGGCTGAAAGAACCCCAGAGAGGTGGGTGTGGGAGGACCCTGACCTCTGCTGACGGTAGTGGTGCGGTTACAGACCCTGAGGAAGAAGGGCTTCAACGGCTGCGACAGCCCCGAGCCGGACGGGGAGGACTCGCTGGAACAGAGCCCCCTGCTGGAGGACAAGTACCGGCGCGCCAGCGAGGAGCTGGACGGGCTCTTCCGGCGCTATGGGGTGAGCCCCACTCACTCTCTCTCTGTTGGCCCCCCTTCCGGCCCCTTCCCCCAGGCGCTGCACAAGAAGCACAGGGAATGTGAGAGCCCTGAGGTGGACGAGGTGTTTGCCCTGACCCCCCAGACGGAGGAGAAATATAAAAAGATAGACGAGGAGTTTGATAAAATGATGCAGAGTTATAGACTGGCCGTGAGTAGTAGCATGGAGGAGAGCCTCCCCGTGGTGCATGGTGTGGCTTTGCGCCCCGCCCGCCCTGGCCCTCCGCTGCCTCTGATGGATGTTCTGCTCTGAGCCATGCTGGGGCTATTGGTGATTCCTAAGGAACCTCTAACCTTGGTGATGATAAACCTGTGACCCTCGCTGAGCCTCACTTGGCATAAGCCAGGAGAGGCCTGGAGTGTCCCCCTCACCAGCAAGAAATGTGTAGATGACAGGAATGTGGGAATTGCTGTTGTCCGGCTCTTTTGTGGGGGAAGGCCCCCTTGGGCCTGCTCTGACACCCCAGGCTCAGATGCTTAGTAGCATTGTTCAGGGGAGTCAGAGACTGTTAAAGGGAAAGGCAGTGCGGTGGGTGAACACCTACAGTAGGCCAGTGGATGAGAAACTGCAAGTGGGATGATGCCCGGACCCAAGTGCAGGCCTGTTAACAGCTGCGTGTGTGAGTTTGGGTCTGTACTCAGGGCCTCTAACCTGCTCCCCGTGTGTCCTGCCTGGCTGAGGACTAACCCACCTCTCCTAGGGGACTCCAGGTGTCCCTGGTCCTGTCTGAAGTGAGCAGAGCCTTGTCCTCGTTCTCTGGGCCAGAGCTGGATCCAGAGCAATCCCACCAACGCGCTTCCTTGGTGGGAGTGGCAGGCAGGACCCCAAAAGGGCCCAAGGCAGAGAGATGGAGCTGCTGGCCCTAGACTGAGTGCACAACCCAACACTAGAAGAACCCAGGCCCGCTTTCTCAGGCAAAGTGGGCCCCAGGTAAGGGGTCACCCTGGTCTGACCCTGCCTCTCCGTTTTCTGTCTAGTCAGCTGTCCCGGCCCCCAACTTTGCCATGCCTGTGACAGTGCCCGTGTCCAATCAGAGTTCACTGCAGTTCAGCAATCCCAGCAGTTCCCTGGTCACCCCTTCCCTGGTGACATCATCCCTCACGGACCCACGGCTCCTGTCCCCCCAGCAGCCAGCACTACAGAGGAACAGTGTGTCTCCTGGTCTGCCCCAGCGCCCGGCCAGTGCAGGTGAGTGGACCGTAGGTGGGCAGGTGAGCTGGAAATGAGGTGTGATGGCGACTTGGGATTCCATTTTCAATAGAGAGTATTTCCCTTCACCTGCACAGCATTCTCCCATTTATGTGGCTCCTGAGGGAAGGAACTATGGCTCCTGTCCTGATTAATCACCAAGACTTCTGGAGGGAACATCTTGTCAGCTCATCACTATTCTGTTTGTCTTCCAGGGGCCATGCTGGGGGGCGACCTCAACAGTGCTAATGGAGCCTGCCCCAGCCCTGTTGGTGAGTACCGCTGCCCTTGCCGAGAGCGGGGGGAGGTCCTGCCCAGGAGTCCAGGGACAAAGGAGGACCTAGATTACAGGAGAAGAAGATCTCAGGGCCTGCATTGGAAGATTTCTAAGCCCTGAGATTTTTTTTTTGTCTGTAGCAATGATTGGTGTGGACCTATAGGCTCAGAGAGTTCTGGACAAACTGTTGGCGGTGAAGATTCAAGTTTTTCCAGTTGAGCAGGACATCTGGTTGGGATCTGAAGGATGGGACTATATCTCGTATTGCCAGTGGGCAATAGGCACAGACTCACACGCATACCTTACATACATACACGTAGGCATTCTCACTGATAGAAATATCCAGACACTAGATGTGCACAGTGCGTACACATCTATAAGTCCCAGAAGCAAGGCACACACTCCCCACCCGGCAGCTGACAGTCCTCCTGCCCGTGCTGTTGTCTGGCTGGTCACTATGACTCCGAGTGTCACCATTGACGTCACCCTGACATTCCTGCCATTCCCGCAGTGATCTGGGAGTTGGGATGGAAGCAGCCACACACTCACAGAGCAGCAGTGTGCTCGCAGGCAACAGAGCAAGATGACACTTCTGATTGTGGTTACCCCCAGCCTCTGGGCTTTAGAACCCCTCATTTTAGCACCAAGACTAGCTTGTTGGCAGTAACTGTGTATGGGGTTAGGAGATGGGGGAAATGAGTGAATACGCTCCCTCTCTAAGGAGAGGGCCAGACAAATGCCTGCAGACCTTAAGGAGGCAGCGATACTTGGGAGCCCTCAGGCCTGGCATGTGGAAAGTGGTGAGGGCCCTAGCTTGGCTTCTAGGTAGCTATGTGGCCCCACAGAAGTCATTAATACCTCTGTCAACCAGGCCCTTCTGTAAATAGGACTAATGATACATGTCCTTACCGCCTTGAGGGTTAGTGTGAGGATTAAATGAGATAATACGCATGTGAAAGCCCCAGGTAGGTTGTGGAGTATGTCATTGTGCTTGTTGTTACCAGCCTAATTATGCTAAAGGCTGAGTTATCAGTCCCCCTGCCAGGAACAACACCACCACTAGTGAATGGTTGATCTTCCCCAGAGCTGAGGGATCTTGTCATGGGCTCATCCAAATCACCGTACCCCCAGCTCACTGCAGAGGGAGCAGCCTGAGTGGCCGATTTGCCCTGGTGAGCAGAATCCTAACTGAGGCCCAAATTCCAGGCTGCCACCCCTTTTCCAACCTGGGTCGTGTGGGACTGGTCAGAGGCAGGTAGTGAGACCACAGGGTGCTGGACTTTCTGCCCATGGGTACCAGGAAGAGAAAAGGTGGGGGAAGCTTGACTGCAGAAGAACCTCTTGAACATTGTGGTTTCCATTTCTAATTCTTCCTACCAACCTCAGATCTCTTACCACCCAGTCCCATCACACATAGCTCAGAGCCAGGAGGATGAACCAATGATTCAGTAGGAAAGGGTCTTAGGGGGAAATCAGAGAGCTCAGTACCCACTCAAAGCCTGGGCGTGGCTTTGAGAAGGGCTGGGTGGCCAGAGTAATGGTGGGAGGGGGGCGGGCAGTTAACAGGGCTTAGGGGTGGGTCCATGTTTTCCTTTTGCCCTCATCTCCTCTCCAGGGAACGGCTATGTCAGTGCTCGGGCTTCCCCTGGCCTCCTCCCTGTGGCCAATGGCAACAGCTTAAACAAGGTCATCCCTGCCAAGTCTCCACCCCCACCCACCCACAGCGCCCAGCTTGGAGCCCCCAGCCGCAAGCCCGACCTGAGGGTCATCACTTCCCAGGGAGGAAAGGGGCTAATGCACCACTTGGTGAGTGGCGGTTTGGACGGAGTGAGGGTCCAGGCGGGGCGGGGAGGAGGCTGGGGAATGGGAGCGTGGAGGGAGGAAAGAGCCGATCTCCAGCGGGAGGTGTGAAGGTTACCCAGCAGTTAGGACTTCCCAAGAGAGATCACGAAGCATGGCTGGGAAGAAGTCCCAGAGGGCTTTACACAAGGTTGGGACACAGAAGTACCAGCCTGCAGGGCAGTAAAGGGAACAGGAGAGAGAATGTTCTGTAACAGGAAGAGATCTGCCATCACAGCAGAGGACGGGAATTAGGTGGTGAGGATTTCCTAGCTGATGGACATTGGGATGTAGCGTCTTATGGAAATCCGTCAGGGCAGGGAGAAGCTCTGTGCTGCTAGGCCGCAGAGCCTTCCTGCTCCGTGCGGAGGCGGGATGGTGTGGGGACAGTGTGTGAGGGGAAGGTAGAGGCCAGAGACTGAACCATCCCTCGGTTTTATTTCTGCTCCCAGACTGAGGACCATTTAGATTTGGTAAGTGAGGCTGTGAGATGTTTGCTGTGGCTTTGAATTCTGGGTCATCCCCTTGCTCTGTGGCCCCCAGCATGGAATATGTGTGTGCTTTGGCCTGTGTGTGTTAGTGTGTGTTGTTTATTTGGTTGTTTGCTGGGAGCTCCAAGCAGGATGCAAAGGTGAATGGGGCAGGGGGCAGACATGCATGTGTTTGTACATGTGTGTATGTAGCTGTCTTCCTGTGATGTTGCATTCATGCAGGCACACCTTTCTCTGTGTGTCTGTGCGTGTGTCAGGGGAGTGGGGTAGGCCTTGTTCCAGGAAGCCTGGATTAGGCCCCTAGACGAGAAACTAGGCTGCACTTGCCCTTCAACTCTGCTCAGGCCCACCACGTTCTTGGCACCCAGCGCATAAAAGAGGTACCAACCAGCCAGGACCGGTTTGGCTCAATGGATAGAGCATCGGCTTGGGGACTGAAGGGTCCCGGGTTCGATTCCGGTCAAGGGCATGTACCTTGGTTGCGGGCATATCCCCAGTAGGGGGTGTGCAAGAGGCAGCTGATCGATGACTCTCTCTCATCGATGTTTCTAACTCTGTATCTCTCTCCCTTCCTCTCTGTAAAAAATCAATAAAATATATTAAAAAAAAAAAAAAAGAGGTACCAACCAGACAATAAGTCATTTTCCAGGGAAGCCGAGACTTAAGGCGAGGCCAGAGATGTCGTTGGTGGGGGGCTCCCCCTTTTCCCTTCTGTCTCGTGCTCCCTTCCGCACAGCCGTCTCACAGGCACTCAGAAGCATACCCAGCCGCTCTTTCTCTCACACACCTACATACTCACCCTCAGCCAGGATGGGGCGGGGGCTCCTCTCTCCCCAATTCCCTGATGGGAGGCCAGTGAGGCTGGAAAAGGCAGCCAGGCTTTGGCGGCCAACACGGCAGCAGTTACGGCCCCAGTGTGGAGTTGGAATAAACAAGTGAGTCAGCAGCAGATGGAGCTGACAGCCCCACACACGTGTGTGCATACACGCAGGCACACGCATTCCGTCACAGATGCCAGCATGCCTCTCCCCAGGCATGTGCTGCTGTGTGATAGATGGAGAGCAGACTCCAGAGGTATCAGCCAGGGGAAGAATGGCTCTCCCTTCTCTCCTCTGCCCTCGGAGAGTTTGGTGCTGGGCCACAGGGCACGCATTCCTCCGTGTATGTAGGTGTGAATGGATTTGTGTGGCATGTTTCCCTCTATGGATCTCTGAATGCAACAGCATGTGTTTGTGTATCTTCGGGGCCTGTGCTGAGGCATCCCATCTGGGCCTTGGGACTCAGAGACCCCAGGTTGGCCTTGGAATGGAGGGTCAGGATCATGCAACCTGCCTCCCCACCTACCACCTCTTGACAGACAATTTTCTCCTGCAGAACAATGCCCAGCGCCTTGGGGCCTCCCAGTCTACCCACTCGCTCACCACCCCAGTGGTTTCCGTGGCAACACCGAGTTTACTCAGCCAGGGCCTCCCCTTCTCTTCCATGCCCACCACCTACAACACAGGTGAGTGTTCAGGTGGCCTTGGGGCGGGAGGGACCAGAGAGGGGACACGAAATATTCTCTAGGGACACCCTAATCGGAGAGCCCTACGTAATTAAGGTTGCCAGATTTAGCCAATAGAAACATAGAATGCCTAGTTACATTTGAATTTCAGGTAAAACAATGAATAATTTTTTAGTATGTCGCACAGACATTCTTCTATAAAATATGTCCCAAGATATACTTATGCTAAAAAATTATTCATTATTTTGTCTGAAATTCAGACTTAACTGGGTATTCCTTATTTTTTAATTTTTTTGTTAATCCTCACCCAAGGATATTTTTTTCCATTGATTTTTAGAAAGATTGGAAGGGAGGGAAAGAGACAGAAACAGAGATATCAATATGAAAGAGACACATCCATTGGTTGCCTCCCTCACACACCCTGACCAGGACCAGGGATTGAACCTGTAACCCTTCAATGCTTGGGCCAATGCTCTAACACTGAGCCACACCGGCCAGGACAAGGGTATTCCTTTTTTTTTTTTTTTTTTTTTAATATAACACCTAATGGAGAAGGGAAGCCCTGTCCTTAGGGAGCCTCCCATTAGGAGAAGCCAGCACAGAGGTGGGCTGAGCAGATGATTCAGGCCATCAGGGCTGGGGTGTAGGGAGGCAGATATGGTCAGTTCAGTGAGGCTTAGAGGAGGAGAATGAAGGGATGAAGGAGAGGAGAGAGAAAGAGGCTGAGCAGGCCAGAGGGAAGGATTCATCCAGGTTCCAGGAAAGGCCACTGGAACTGCCTTGGTGGTGGAGCATTAGGGGGGCAAGGAGGAGGAAGGTTGAGGAGAGAGGAATGAAGATATGAGCGAGGCCTCTAGCTAGAAGAATTCAGACAGGACACTCAGTGCCCAGGCCGCTCCTGGGTACCCGGAGCTGTCCTGGCCGGTGTCACCCATCACATTCTCCCAGGAACAGTCTGTGACACTCTTAGCCTTCCTTACAAGCTGCAGTGTGGGGAAGGACTGCCCAAAGGGAAATGTCTTGTTACTTTGTTTCAGGGCATGTGTGTAGCTGGGAACCTGGTCTGTGTCCCTGCTGTTCCCCAGGTTCTCTGACCTGTGAGTGGCTTGTGTGAGGGCTGTTTTGTGATGAGATGAGACTAGATCAAAAGACCCTTCAACTTCACTCCCCTCTCCAAGCCCCATTCCAGAGTTGAAGCACCTTCGGTCCCAGACATCAATATAAATCTCACCTCTACCCCACGAGTCTAAATCCAGAACCCAGCCCTGCATGTAGGAAAGCCCCTTGGGGCGGGTAGGACAGCTGTTGCGGAACCAGACTCTGGTATGGCATCTGTGTCCAGATTTTATCACGCCCGTGTCTGTGAAGCCCTTTGTTCCCATGTGTTCTCCCATGCGTGCACACACTCTCCGTTTGCTATGTCCTCGGGCGGTTTCAGAGGGGACTGCTTCAGATGGCCCAATCCCTGGGGCCAATCTCTTCATCTATGGGAATTATGAGTGGACAGGAGGTCTCTGAGGCTCGTCCAGCCCTGCCAGCTGGGGATGGGCCTGGCTAGAAAAACCAGTTCCCTGAGGACAACCAAGGGTGGTGGTTGGCAGAGGGCAGCACACTCCACTTTTCAGGAGCTGTTGTTTTTTGGAATCCTAGAGCGGTGATTTTCTGCCATCTTCTCGGGACTCCTGTCCTTCTGTGAAGAAGGAAGGAAGTTAGTGGGTGTCAGTGAACCTGGGGCAGGTGCTCAGTGGTGAGAGAAGGTGCTGATGCTGGGCCTGCCCTGGAGCCCTGAGAGAGGTGTGCGTGGCCTCCCTCACATTCTCTCGGCAGCCATGGCTCTGGCTGCAGGAGTAGTTTCAACAGCAGGGTATTCAGGTGACTCCAGATGCATAAACAAAACCCCCACGAACACATCACTGTGCAGTCCTAGTCCCCAGTTCAGGTCCCAGCTGGGGGTGATCTGGCCATGGTAATGTCTTACTTAGTAAGGGACAGGCCTGGTCCCTTGTTAACCCTGGCTGCAGAGGTCTGGCTTGTGGACATGCTAGGCGCAGGCCCAGTGCGTAGCCAGGTGACCTGCAGGCCGTGTTCCTCTTACCGAAGAAGAGGAAAGCCAAGGCTCTGGGTAGATGGGGCTGGACGTGCTAGGAACTGAGGGACTAGGGGTTGGGTCTGAACCGTTCACTCGCTGAGGTATGTTGGGCAGGTGGCGTGCTTTTCTGTGCTTGGCTTTCTTGTTTATATAAGGAGTGTTTGAAATAGTCGGTCCTAGGGGCCCCTTTCTGCCCTTGCTCTGCTTTTTAAACGTAAGCATCTCAGAGCTCCTGGCTAACGTTAATGAGGCCAGCGGCAAGCATGGACCATCTCTCTAGGGTGAGATTTAAAAGTTATAAAGAGGCCTGGGATCTTGTCTTTGCTCTGCCGTTGGCTTTCTCTGTGACCCGGGGCGTTCCTCAAACTTGAGGCTGCAGTCGCCTCCTTTGTAAATTAATAATAATAAGTAAATCTTTTAGTATTTACTATGTGCCAGACACTGTTCTACATGCTTCATGTGTGTTTTGTTGTTGTTGTTTTGTTACTTTTCACCTGAGGATATTTTTTGCATTGATTTTTAAAGAGACTGGAAGGGGGGAAAGGAAAGAGAGAAAGAGAGGGAGAGAGGGAGTTATCAATGTGAGAGAGAGAGACACATCGATTGGTTGCCTCCTGAATACACTCCAATCGGGGCTGGGGATTGAACCTGCAACCCAGGTACATGCCTTTGACGGAGAATTAAAACTGCAGTCCTTCGGTGCTTGGGTCGACGCTCTAACCACGCTGGGCATGCTTCCTTGTGTATTAACTCAGATCTCCCAACAGCTGTGTGATACAGGCAGGGTTATTGCCTCCAGTTTATGGAGAGTAAGTAGCTTGCCCAAGGTCACATGACCTATAATGGAGGTAGCCAGGAAGTTTGACCTCATCGCTCATGCCTGTGACCTTATTGTTGTCTGGCACAGATCAAGCTGCCCTCTAACGACAGGGCTGGCGGGGATGGCCCCCGAGTAAGCGTGGCGGTACCAAGCTGCTGTGATGGGAGGAGGGGCGTGCGTGCCCTCCCGCTCCCACAGCGCAATCCCCTTCTGCTCCTTAGGGAAGACATTTCTAAACGGTTCCAAACAGGATGCAACACGAAGCATTACAGCGCTGTGTAAATTGTGAAACATCTTGTGGCTCTGTTTGTCCTGTGACAGAGCAAATATCACCGCTTCTTTATTGAGACAGAAATTTTAGAAAAGAACAGGCAGCATCTCCTGGGGAATCTGGTCAGCACCTTGGCCTGCTGTGCTGCCCCACCGTTTCCCTCCTGCCCCGCTGCTCTCGCAGGCACTTCAGGGGCAGACACGCATCCTCCATGTTTATGTGGGGGCCCAGCAGCTCCCATCTGGCTGCTCCTTACGTGTTGACAGTCTCTAGCAGACTCTGGACTTTGTAGAAGGTGGAATGGCCGTTAGCAGTAACTTGTTTCGGATGCGCTGTTCACCTGGTGTTTGATCACCCTCCCCTCCGTCTCTAAAAGGCACTTACAGACGTGGCAGTGGAAGAGAGGACAGGCATATATTAGACCTCCCCTGGTTTTTTACCCTTCTTCTCATTAATTGACATTCTGAAGTGATACCTCACACAGTAAACTTTTAAAGAAGTTAAACACAGTTTAAGAAGCCACCTCTTGCCCTCCCAGCGTGGCTCAGTGGTTGAGCATCAGCCCATGCACCAAGAGGTCCCTGGTTCAATTCCCGGTCAGGGTACATGCCCCGGTTGCCACTTGATCCCCAGTGGGGGGCATGCAGGAGACAGCTGATCTGTTTCTCTTTCCCCCTTCTCACTCTCCCTGTCTCTCTAAAAAATCAATAAAAACATATCATAAAAAGAAAGAAACCACCTCTTTTCATCCTGTTAAAAAAACAAAACAAAAAAAAACAAACAGCACCTTAAAAAAACATAAACACAGACAAAAAAAAACCCCAGCACCTTATGGCTATTACAATTTGCATTTTTTGAACTAGGAGTGCCGGGCCAGCTTCCTGGGTTCGTGTGGGTTTTGTGATTGTTCCCTTCTATCATTAACAGCTCCTTCCCTCTCCATGTTCCTCCGGAGGTGCCGCAGCCTTAGTCCTCTCCCTCTCCCCGTGGCTCATTCTCCCTCTCCCCGCCCGGCAGATTACCAGCTGACCAGTGCAGAGCTGTCCTCCTTACCAGCCTTCAGCTCACCTGGGGGGCTGTCACTAGGCAATGTCACCACCTGGCAGCAGCCACCGCAGCCCCAGCAGCCGCCCCAGCCGCAGCCCCAGCCCCAGCCCCAGCCGCAGCCTCAGCCGCAGCCACAGCAGCAGCAGCAGCAGCAGCAGCAGCCGCCACAGCCACAGCAGCAGCAGCCCCACCTGGTCCCTGTGTCTCTCAGCAACCTGATGTGAGTCCCTGGGGATCTGGCACGTGTTTGCGAAGGGCAGGTTGAGGGTGGGGAAGAGGAGGGATTCCTTTAAGTTGTCTGTCACCAGATGGCAGTCCTGATATCCCAGGCACAGGCCCGAGCCCCTCCCCCAGCCAGCCGGGGTGGGGGTGGGGACCCCGCACTGTAAAAGATGACGTGAGATAGAAAGAGAACTAATTAAAAAAAAAAAAAAGAAAGAAAGAAAGAAAGAAAGAAAGAAAGGGAACTAATTTGACTTCTTTTCCTTGTTTTCCTTCACTTGGCCATCTCTCTCCTGGTCTCTGTCTCCATCCTCTTGTCTCTTCCTCCCCCTCTCATCCCCATCCCCCATCTTCTCCCATTCTCCGTCCTCTCGCTCTCTGTTTTGTCACTCACCTTCTCTCCTCTGTTTCTGTCCCCTGTCCCCTATCTCCATCCCCTTTTCCTGTTACCAGCCCTGGCAGCCCCCTGCCCCACGTGGGTGCTGCCCTCACGGTCACCACCCACCCCCACATCAGCATCAAATCGGAGCCTGTGTCCCCGAGCCGCGAACGCAGCCCTGCGCCTCCCCCTCCAGCCGTGTTCCCGGCTGCCCGCCCTGAGCCTGGCGACGGCCTCAGCAGCCCAGCCGGGGGCTCCTATGAGACGGGGGACCGGGATGACGGACGGGGGGACTTCGGGCCCACCCTGGGCCTGCTGCGCCCAGCCCCAGAGCCTGAGGCCGAGGGCTCCGCTGTGAAGAGGATGCGGCTCGACACCTGGGTACTGTAGCATCACCCCTTTGTCTGCCAGTGTCTGCTACACCCAGGGACTGCCCCGTGTGCCCCCAGCCTGTTCTATCTCCTACCTGAGAGGCCTTGTGGCCAGCAAGCCCTTCCGTCAGCCCTTTTGGGGCAGCACCATGCCCTTTCACCCCCACCAAAGGCCCATCTCTCACCCTCCCTCCAGCATCAGTCCTGCTCGATAGCATCCTCCCCTCAGAGCTGGCCCTGCCGCTAGTCCCCGGCCCTACAGGGAGAGGGGCGTGGGGGACACATGCCCTGTAGCCCGGGCCCCCCCCTCACACCCCCTCCCCCATCTCCTCTCTTCACAGACATTAAAGTGACGCCCCCCCACTCCCCTCCTCTCAGCCTCCCTGATGAAGAGTTGACAATCTCACCGCCCACCCCCTGTCCTGGGCTCCTCCCGCTTGACCCCCACTTCCTTTCTTGTGCTCCGTGTCCTGTTGACGGTTACATTTGTGTATAATTATTATTATGTTATTATTAATATTATTTTTTTTTAATTTGGGTTCTCACTTTGGAGAGGGGGATGCTCCCATCCCCTTTCTGCACCCCCGCCATTCCCACCGGCCGCGGGAGCGCTCTCTGCGGGAAGGGGAACACTTTGCACGTTGCACACATATGCTGCAGGAGGGGCGGGGGGGCTAGTGGGCTTTCGGGAAAGGACAGGTGCCGAGCCCTGCATGCGGAGCCCTCCCACCCCGTCCCCCCAGATAGTGGGAAATAACCAAAAAAACTACCAAACAACAAAACCCTTACAACAGACCGAAACCCCAAAGCTGGTGTGATGGTGGGTTTGTGTGTCAGGGGAGAGCGAGGAGGAGGCTCAGTAAAGGGTGTCTGCCTCCTGGCTGTCTCTGCGGCCATAGGCACAAGGGGCGGAATGCCCAAGCCCGGCCCCATAAGCCCCTGCACGCACACGGCACTCGCTCACTGGTTCTGTGTGAGCTGCACCTCCTGGGTGTGGGGGTGCTGGCTGAGCTTTGGGGCCGGGAAGGCTGCCTAGGGATCTGAGGCTGCGGGGAGGCTTGGAGGGAGCGCCCCTCTGAAGCACATTTGGAGAGAAAGAGCCATGAGGAGAGAGAAGGCTGAGGAGGGACAGGGCTGGGACAAGGGGTGAGTCAGCATCCCTTCCCTCTCCCAGCGCTTTCTCTGAGACACAGTGCAATAGCTAGCTCCCCAGCCCTCGGTGGACACCAGCACAGTAAAGCTGGCCACAGCGTGCAGGGAGAACTGGGGAGAGGAACTTGAGTGAGGTGACGAGGTGACTCAGTGGGAGCGGGTCTGGTCACTTTGGGATGCCTGAGGACGGAACCCTTGCATCCAGGGGGCGAGTGTGAGTGAGGGGACTTGAACTTCCTTGCACGTACATTTTCCCAGAGGAGTGGACGTAGGGATGGGTGAGAGGATGGGAGAGGAGACTGGAGGTCTGCAGAGGCCTGCCTCCCTTCTCTCCTCCTTGGCCCTTCTCCCCGGCCCTCTTCCTAGCTCCTGCTCCTGCCCCAGGATCGGCTCCAGATCCCACCTCCCTGTTCTTGGCGCCCTCATTGTCTGGCTACCTCCTGTCCCACCACCCCCAGGCCGAATCCCACCTTCCCTCTTGGCTACTGTAATTGTAAATAGCAACCTTTGGAAAAGTTAGCAGTGTAACAGTCCAGGAAACTGTTGTTTTTTTTTGTTGTTGTTGTATTGATATGAAATGAGATTCTATTTTTGTCAAAGTATATTGTAATAATAATGACTCAAACGCCCGTACTGTACAGATGAGGTTCTTCTGCTGTTGTTCTTGCTCCCCTCCCCCAGCCCCCAGTCTGCCTCTCTCTGCGCCTCCCCAGGTCCTGAGACCTCAGGCAGGATGACAGGTCAAACTGGAGGGGGCAGGCCCACCCCATGATCCACACCACCCCTCACCCGAACGTGCGTGGGCAGGCAGACTCCTTCACAGAGGCCCAGCTCCTCTGCCCAAGGATGTAGCTAGCACTCCCTGAGGGTTTATCCCGGTGGGAAAGCAGAGCAGACTAGGCCCAGTTCTGTGCCAGGTGACTATCTTTGCCCACCCGTAGGGCCCAGCCACTTGCAGTATCCCAACACGAGGCAGGGGAAGAGCCAGGAGCAAAGGGGGACATGTGGCTGCACATGTACCTGAGTGTATTCCTAAGGGCATCTAGTGTTTGTATGTCCAAGTATTCCTTTATATTTATGTGTGTGTGATTGTGTGGGTCTCTGAGCCTGTCTGGGCATACACATGAATCTTTGTGCAAATTAAGCTCTGAGGGCATCTGTGTGTGTGTGTGTGTGTGTGTGTGTGTGTGTGTGTGTGAGAGAGAGAGAGAGAGAGCATGGGCACGTGCCTGGGTATGTGTTTACAGAGGGACAGGTGGCTGCTGCAGCCACATAGCCCTGGCTTCCAGCTCCATGACCCTCCTCCCTGAGCCCTGCTCCCTTCTGGCCTGCTCCTTCACCTGTTCTCACCCTCAGCTCTGATATTTTTGTCCTCCCGTCAGAAAGAATCTAGCAGTTGGCCTTCCCTGCCCCTCCCTGCCGCCCTGCCTCTCCCAGGCTCCTCGCACAATTGTCTACCCGGTACCCACACCTTTGCAGCCCCTTCCCTGCAGTTCACCCTTTCCTCACCCCAGTCCTGCATTCAGGGCGACACTCAAGCTCCTCTTCCTCCTAAAGCTTTTTCCTCACCCGATAGTGAACCATCATTCCTCACCCCTGAACCCCTCCTGCCGGCTGGGCGCACGGCGTGGCCAGTCTCCCTGCAGGCTCCGGGGGGAGTTTCAGGAATGGAGGAGACTAACAGGGCCGTGAAAGAGGAGGGTGTGGTCTTGTGTGGTGTGCCTGGCTCTCAGTAAATGCTGAATGAGTGAATGGTGAGCGAATGATAGGTGCTCATTGAACATTGAACGACTGGCCATCCCTTCTCAGGCTCTTCCTGCCATCAGCCTGTCCACCTTTCTAAGCTGAGGTCGGCCACCCTTAAACACGGGGTGGGGGTGAGGCCCCTGCAGTTCACGGTGCAATATTTACCAGTTTTGCCCTCTGCCTTGTAATGGCAAACCTGGCTTTTGATTACCACGTGTGGATGTGTGTGTGTCCTTTCCTCTCTATCCCTGGGGGCAGGGCGTGATTTGTGAATGAATTTGTGACGTTTCTGCAATTCAGTATCCCAAGATTTCTCTTGGGGGTAGGGGCTCCTGGCCGGCCAGAAGAAGGGTCCCTGGGAACCCAAACCTCAAGTGCAGACTTCATTCTCCCTCCTCTCACAAGCCAAATTCGCCTCCACCCACTCCTTCCTCTGAGTAACTGGGCATTTGCCAAAGTAATCACTGGAGTCATCCAATACTCCTCCCCTCCCCAGGTTTCCCACAGCTTTCAGGGACAGTGGGCAAGAGGGCCCCCCACCCACCCCAGCTGAACACACCATTTCCTCTTTCCCCAGTAGTGCACTCAGTACAGTGAGACTGACCCTGACCCTCACCCAGCCCTCCCTACCTTGGACAGGAAGGAAGTAATGCACCTTCTCTTGCTGATTATTTATTTGTTTGGAGAGACAGAAATGATGTAAAAGTGTATCTAGAAATATCTATATCTATATATTTTTAACTGACTCTTTGGAATCCCCTGGGGTGGGGTGGGGGGTGGATTTGGGCTTTCGCAGAGGGGAGGAGACATGGAGCCTGGGAACTCCTCTGCTCTCCCCTCTGCCACCTCTCTCCACCCTCCGGACAGTTGGTAGAAGGAATGGGATTTGTATTGGGGGAGGGGCGCTGGAATGTTATATGGAGAATCTGGATTCTCTCTGTCTTCCCCATTCAAGTCCCAGAAGGGAGGAAGGGGACAGGGCACGGAGGTGCCTCACCCCCAAACCCGACAATCACCCACACTCCTGGGGCTCCTCCTGGGTCCTGGGCAGGGCGAGTCCAAGTGTGTGGCTGTTGATTTGTTTTCAATATTTCTTTTTGTGCTGTATGGTGATGCTTTCTTAGTATTCTACACAATAAGAAAGACAAAGTCCTCAAGATTCTTATGAGTTTTGTTTGAAAACTCTTTCACTATATTTGTTGTAAAGAGGTTTACTATTAAAAGAAAAAGAATACACGTTTCTGATACTTTGGCTTGGGCTCTGGTTTCTCTGGTGCGGCGGGCCCCCCCAGGGTCAGAGGCCAAGCATGGCGGCAGTGGGAAGAAGGGAGGGCACTTTCAGGTGGCTGGCGTGGGGTTCCAGCTGAGAGTTTATCCCAGGTGCTCTGTCGGAAGCAGAGGCAGTCCCAGAACTAGGGAGGGTTGTCCTGTTAGGAGTTATCCGAGGGGTCGTGGGATCTGAGAGAAAGAAGTTCCACTCAGGCCTGGTCAGGAGCAGGGTGGTGTGCAGTGAGGGAGCCGCCCGGTAGCAAACCTGTGGCCACTGAGAACTGTTCCGTGGCAGCAACTTGCCCAGGCGCCGGGTTAGGCACAGTGAAGTCCACCTTCACCGGGGTCCCACGGGGCTCCCTCCAGTAGGGGCATCTGCCCTTCCCTGCCCTTTTGAAGCACCAGCAGTGCCAGGGAGCCTCTCCCTACCTCCTCACAGATCCCAGAGGGCCTCCCTACCTGGTGCCTTAGGGGCAGGTGACTCTTCCTCCTGCCTCCCCACACACACCCTGCACAGCTATGTTTGGGCTGGTGCAGGGGCTGTGGAGGGAAGTGCGCAAGGCGTGGCCGACACATTGGGCCACTCCTCTGTACCAGGCCCACGCTAGGTGCTGCGGAGGCAAAGATGGAGTGTGGGACAGGCCGGTATTCAGTGAGAGAGAGAGGCTTCCAAATGCCTAAAACCCACACTGCACAGCTAATGTTTTAGTGGCTGCCTATGCAGGCTGGTGCAAGAGGACATGGAGTCAGACATTGCAGAATGTCTCTGTGCCTTGAGTTCCCTCATCTGCAAACTGCAGTGATCTGCCTTCCCTCCCAGGGTCATTGCCAACTTCACCTGGCTTCTCCCTCAGCTGGGGCAGAGCTGGCAGACAGCTGAGCAGGAAGTGCTTAGGAAGACACCGTCCTCCAGACCAGGCTCCCTTCTGGCTGCCTGTGGTGGCAGCCTCCAGGGTGACATCCAGTGACCTCAATGCGGTACTCGTACCCGTGTGTGGTCCTCCCACACTGAATCATGGTTGGTATGTGTGTCCAATAAAACTTCCAAATAAAGCTGGTACATGGTTCTCCACGTGCTTTCCCTGCCCGGGGAAGTATGGAGGCACACCAGAGCAGCCCGGATGGCTGAGCTGCCTCCAGGTGTCCAGCACACGGGACTGTGTGAATAGAAAACGTGTTAAGCCGC